GTTCTGGCACATCCAACTGTTAATTTCATCAATGCCTTGGCAGAGGGAGTCAGTGGGGCTGTAGTCATTTGGCGATAAGGCTAGGTAAATGTGGGTATCATCAGCATAGCTGTGATAGGCAATTTGGTTCTTTCTCATTATTTGACTTAGTGGGAGCATATACAGGCTAAACAAGAGCGGTGTAAGAATTGAGCCTTGTGGGACTCTGCATGTCATGGACGTCCACTTAGACTTACAGTGGGGCAAAAAAGTATTTAGTCAGTCAAGTTCTCCCACTTAAAAAGATGAGAGAGGCCTGTAATTTTCATCATAGGTATACCTCAACTATGAGAGACAAAATGAGAAAAAAAAATCCAGAAAATCACATTGTAGGATTTTTAAAGAATTAATTGGTAAATTCCTCGGTAAAATAAGTATTTGGTCACCTACAAACAAGAGTGAGGCGTTCACCACTTCTAAGAGATCTGCTTCCAAACAGTTAAGCGCCCTTTTGAAAAAATATGTGGGAAGTGTGTCAAGACAGCAGGTTGACGATTTAAGGTGCTGTACTATTTCTTCCAAAATTTTGCTATCAATTTCTTCAAAAGCAGACATAGTATCTTTTTTTTGGTATTGTGGTCGAATCTGTCTGACCTCTGCATAATTTGGGGATGTGCTAATCGCCTTCCTGATATTATTGATCTTCTCCAAAAAGGAGGAAGCAAACTCATTGCATTTACCGTCGGAGAGCATTTCACTGGCAATCTGACTTGGGGGGTTTGTCAGTCTCTCAACAGTAGCAAAAAGAGCAAAAACTTTATACACTAAATATTTAATGGAAAATACACTACCAAAATTTTTTTTTTCTTGAAGGAAAATAATACCTTTATTCAAGGACGCATTGATCAATATTGAGCTAAAGTGAAAGACATTTGTTACAAAAGATTTCTATTTCAAATAAACGCTGTTCTTTTGAACTTTATATTTATCAAAGAATCCTGAAAAAAATCTTGGTTTTCACACAAAACATTAAACCGCAAAAACAGTTTTCAACATAAGAAATGTTTCTTGAGCAGAAAATCAATTGTAAATAATTCTAAACAATAACAAAGGAATACCTTTTTATATAATATTAAAATAAAAAAAACTTTAAATTGTAATATTTCACAATGTTACTATTTTTACTGTATATTTGATCAAATAAAATCAGCCTTAATAAGCATAAGACATACTTTTTGCAAAAAATTAAAAAAACTTAGCAAACCCACATTTTTATAATAGTCTACACAAAATAATGAACAAAGGAATAATATTTGTAAAGTAAGGTACCCTTTGGTCAACTGAGTTCCAAGCACTAGAGTAAGACAAAGTATTATTGGGATATTCAAGTCAGTTTTTCAGAACCTTTGTCATTCAGTATTGCTTTCCTTTTGAGGCATGATTAATAGAGATGCACCGAAAAGAAAATTCTTGGCCGAAACCGAACAAAATTAAACACTAGGCCGAAGGCCGAATACCGAACACGGTTTAATTTTTTTTCACCATTGCATAAATTAAAAAGCCAAAATGTGCTTTTTACTGTTTTGTCTTGCTTTTCAAAGACATTTTTTTATTATCTTACAGATATATTATAATATGGTATATAAAAGCTTAACATTTACACAAAAAAAGTACAAATAAATCCACTCATTCGAAAACAACAACCCATTTTGAAAGCAGCATATACCCTATTAATACCAAGCAATAAACCTCTTACTAGTGCTCGCCACCTGTCTGTATAGGTCTGTATAGGTTGCCACCTGTGTCTTGGGTCCCAGTCTGCTCTGCTAACGAATAATATTTGTGATTGTTCCCAAAGTTGAACATTCATAACCTGTAAGAAGTAAAAAGTGTAATAAAACGCATTCTCTGTATGTTCTCAGCCTGATCCTATTAATAGTGCAGTTTGCGTTGCTGTGATTGGTTCTGGAGTATGTGCCTGGGCAGTGCTCGCCCGTGATTGGTTCTGGAGTATGTGCCTGGGCAGTGCTCGCCCGTGATTGGTTCTGGAGTATGTGCCTGGGCAGTGCTCGCCCGTGATTGGTTCTGGAGTATGTGCCTGGGCAGTGCTCGCCCGTGATTGGTTCTGGAGTATGTGCCTGGGCAGTGCTCGCCCGTGATTGGTCAGTCGGTGTGCTGAACCCGCGAGACTGCTGCGCGAATAATGGGTTCTAAAAGGTCTGACACAGAAGTGCTCGCGGATTTGGCGGCAAAACCCTCCAGGATTACTGAATCAGGTATGCAGAAGAGCACCTGCTATTACAAAGGCACCTCAAGACATTTCAATGTGCGCTATATTGCAGGGACCACAAACAGAACGAGATCGCGCTAGTATTATATTGACTACTTCTACATGGGTTTCATAAAATGGTAATTATATTTATCAGTATGTAAATAAAAATAATGCATTTGATTTGGGAAATGAACATGCGTTCTGAGTGCGTCAGTTCTTCTTAAATGGTAGATACATTCAGGTAGATAAATGAAGAGAATGGGCCGCATATGTTAAAGCGAAATGCTTGCATTGTAATGCATGCTGCTGTAACTTCGTATGTTTTAACTCTGAAACATACCCTGCGTCTCAATGTTCATATTTTCCATCCTAAATAGTATGTGAGGTTAGAATAAGTGTGGCCCAAAGCATAATATGGTGAAAAGAGTATGCCAAAAGTCCCCGGATGGTCTACTATTTCAGGTCGATTTTTGAAGTGTGGATCCGTGCACACTCTAATGGCTAATATTGCCCACAATACATTGCGAACTGGTGAAGAATTCTGTCCCGAACTACAAACACGAATAAAACGCGTTAAAAACTACAAACATGGCGGATGTGTGTGACCGACGGTTAGGTAGGGAGGCTTAGAAAAAGGGGTTTGAGTTACTAATATTCAACATTTAACCTTGTAAAAAAATTATTTAATGTTATCTGAGTTTTATTTCATCTTCAACAGCAATGTAAACTTTTATAAACATCCGTTTGGTCGTTAACTTTTAAATGCATCATTATGCAGAAAATATGAGCAGAGTTCTCGGCATGAAAGACTGAGACAAGATGATTGACAGGCCAGTTTACAGTGACAGTGTGCATGTATCTATGCGACAGAGCGTCCGTTAAAGACGCAGTTGTGTGACCTGGTAGTATGTCCCAAAGCTTGCCTACTCTTCTACTACACACTCAAAAGTGTGTACTTTTTCTTCACCAAAAGAGTACATACTTTAAGGGCGTAGTATAAGTAAGCACATTGAGACGTAGCAATAGTAGTCTCGCCTAAAACGTTGCGGTTCGGGCGTACATACGCAGCGCTGTAACTTGTAACTTACATCTGGATAGTCAGGCTAGCAAACAATAACTCACGAGATGAAGCACAATGAGACTCAGACATGAGGACTGCTTGAGTCGTTCCATCACTTGAAACTGCATTCAGCAGATAAACGGCTAAAATTCACCTAATTGGCACTACTTACCAGTCTTGAAAATGTTCGCAAATATCGTTAGGCAAAGTATGATCATCTTAGCAGTGAGTCGTGAGCGGGAGGAGACGCGTGCGTGCGCGCGCTGATGAGTGTCGCTAAGCGTGTGTGTACGAAACTATATTGTAAAGTGTGTTAGCAAGTATGCATGGTAAAGATTAAAAACAACAAACAAAACAGGTTTTCTCAATTGTGATTTTCATTTAATTTTCATGACTGAAATTATTTTTAGAAATAAAATTTGACATTGACATTACGCATAATTGTGGGACAATTCATTTTCAAATTTAGACCAAATTCAGTTGACCCATTTTTAATCTATATCTGCAAATAATGCATACAACTTCATATTTAGCTCACATAATGTAAATCTATATGTGATATAGAATATCACACAGATATTAACTTGACGACAAAAATAAAAACAGTCTTTCCAGAGGATTGTCCATTTGGGATTGGTCACATGTCCAAAGATACCTCTTTTTTTTCTCCATGCCGTCATTAGCCACATGATCCCAGCAAGACAGATGAATACTTAAGGCTATATTTTGTCTTACCAAAACATTAAAACACAAACTAGTCTTTGACCATCAAGCAGTGCCTATCAAATTAGGAACAAAAGAAGCATGTTTTCAACTGTTCATCAAGACCACTGCAACTCAGATTTCTTCACCATGACCTCGACCCCTCTGAAGTGGACCTCAGCATCAGACAGGTGTACCCTCCTGTATCTTCTTCTCATCCTGACTCCTGAAGTACACATGATTGAGCAGGACATCCAGTTTCAATGGAAGAGTGGGTTCTGGGATAGTGCTGGTATCTAGACCCAGCTGCTTGGCTTGCTGGGCCAGGATCATCGCACGCAGGAGAGGCGGGTATCTCACATAAGGCACAGAAGGCTCAGGGACAGGTTCACAGCATTTGAAGACCTCTTCTTCATGTTTGGGCACCAGTCGCCAGTAATGGTACATCACCTTATCCACCTCACGCTCTTCGGGTTCCTCTTTACCTGAAACACACATCCAAACAATGTGTCACAGTGAGGTTGCTGTATTTATTTGCTACATTTGTTTATTGTAAAATATCAGTACAATTTAAAATGACAGTTTACTGTAATGTATTCCTGTGATGGCAAAGCTGAATTTTCAGCATCATTACTCCAGTCTTCAGTGTCACATGATCCTTCAGAAATTATTCTTAATATGCTGCTATTAGGTGCTCAAGAAACTTTTATTATTATTGTTAAAAACAGTTGTGAAACGTAATATTTTTGTAGTATCCGTGATAATGTTTTTCATGATTCTTTAATTAATAAAAAGTTCAAAAGAATAGCATTTTTTTGAAATCGAACTCTTTGGAACATTATAAATGTCTTTATCACTTAGCAATTTAGTGCATTCTCGCTTAAGTTCCCCAAAAAAATCTTGCAGACCCTAATCTTTTCAACAGTAATACATGACTGCAAATAACAGAACTGACACCTAATGTGCTCAAATATTATCTGTCCAAATAACGTAATTTTTTTAGCTAAATTTATAATAGATTATAAATCTATGTAATTGTTGAGCTAAATTTCCCATACATAAAATATTGAAAATAGCACTGTCACAATTTTGCCACTAGAGGCCAGTATAAAAAGTCAGTCTAGTCATTAGTCTTACATTTATTCATTAAGCAAGTACTGTTATACTGTTAAAGTGACTTATCATAAATATAGAGAGTGCCAGCGCCCCCCAGCCACTGGCAGGTCACATGACCTGTCAGTGGCAGCTCCTGCCAGCCAGTTGAAGATTGAACCCCCACTCTTAGAGCGAGCATTCAACCTCATATTATATTACATATCATTAATAACATTGTTTTGAAAGAATAGATGTCTTCCACTTGATCATAAAACTGTCCAGCTACAAACTTTCTTATTTGTTAGTCAGACCTACATAAATAATCTTCACTGCAGTAACTCCTTTACGCAATATTTTGTCAATAAAATTAATTAGAAATTCATTATCCAAAAGATGTAATATGATGGAAAGTGTAGTTTTAATTTTGTGTAATAAGAGCAACTATATGATTGATTTTTGGAAACCTTTATTAAGATCTCAAAAAGAACAAACAAACAAAAACATATTCAGCCCCTTTTTTAATGCATATATAATTTTCCTTATTTTTTTCTTGACTTATATAAAAGGCCATGCTTAATGTATGGTGTAGAAGCAAGAGAAGGAAGAGAGAAGACAGAGAGTGAATGAGAGAAAGAGAGAGCGCTTATGACACAATACGCTTAGAACACAGTATAGGGACCTGTATATATTTCTACATACATACATACAATAAACGCAAAAAGTGCTTTATGCATAACAAAAACATGATTTGCTTTTTTTTAAACAATGAATTACAAAATCTGCAATATAAACCCCATATGAATTCAATATGAACCTCTGATGTTGCACAGATTGAAAACTGAATCAACCTCCACTTCAGTTTGCATCAGTCAGTTCGATAACTGCATCAAGGTATTTCCAGGGAAACAGAATTTCTATGGAAATACTGTTCAGACACACATAAACACACTTTGAGTAAGAACTAGGGCCCAAAGTAATCCCTAGAGCCAAAAAAATTCAAAATACACAGGCATTTTCCTCACCATTTCAACATAAAGGTATTTATAAGACATTTATGCAGACATTCATCATGACGCCACTGTAGTTACTTACTGTCTATTGGTTAGTCCAAGCTGTTTGACAATATAAGAAGAGAGTAAAAACATACAATGATTGTTCAAACATCAAGAGGGAACAGACCTTGACACCCTGAAGTGCTGAGATGTTTGACTGGCCTGTAATGGAGAAAGACATGAATATGCATTACTTCAGAGGAGATCGGGTAACTTTTTCTGCCCCCAAGTCACTGCAGTAATGGAGAAATGTACAGTTCACTCAAAGTGTTGTGTATCGTTTGTGTGGGGTTTTTTGTGAAGTGTTTGCCTGCATTTCAGATGGCGGCATGTTATTGTTTCCCACATCAGAATAGGTTCATGAGGTTCACATCTTGTTTTTTTCTGAAGAGCTGATGGTCTTCATTCCATGGAGTTCACAACATAATAAAAACTGACTATGACTGAATACTGCAATATATATTCAAATGTCACCTGATGGAGCAAACTACCTTTAGAGCCTTGAAAGATGAATATTTACCATTGATGCAACTAGTAAAACAGGCTTGACTGACCTTGAAGTTACAGCCAGCCCTGTTATCCACCGTTGTGATTGACAGCACACGTCCAGTGTTTATATATGTTGGTTCTTTTTTTTTTATTTGCGGAGACATTTTCTGATGTGTGCATAATGATGCATAATGGACATGCACTCGCAGCCTCAGGTCCAGCGGCAACGTTTCCGCTGGCAGGCCTCCGGGTCTGAGGAGCAGCCCTCAGAGTCACTGCCCGAGGAGGGTCCTGGCGGGGTGTGAGTGTTTGAGTGCGTGTGCGTATGATCCAGGCTTAGCACCCATCCCAGTTCAGAGTGAAGAAGGTGTCTGAGGCCGGGTGGCAGGGGCAGGACTCGGAGGGCATCGACTCCAGACGGGAGCAGCTTGCGGAGTCGTGAGCAACACAGGTACTGTAGAGAGGTGGGAGCAGAGACCGAGCGAATCACCTTCATGCTGCTTTTGGCTGCGGTGGAACACGCCATTGGAAAAACATGCTTATTCTTCATCTCTGTAGCTGCTACACCTGCCATGCACACAACATATGGGTTAAATGTTATCAAATTAGTGTTTTACACTGCTCCACAGACAGCTCTGTGATTATTTAAGACTAGTTGGTGGGTCGTTTGAACTAGTTATAGCCTTGTATAATCATGTTCGCCAGACACGGACAGCACATTTTTCTTATGGATATATGAACGCAAACCACAACCCCTGAACAAGGTATCTGACAAATATTCTAATAAAAACAGTAGGTGAAGTAACTATAAACTTATTACATGCATTTATGAAGACAGTGGTTACAGACATTACCAAGACATTGGTTTTGTTCTCCAAGGATAACTGGAAATTTATTTAAAAAAAATTTTTTTAACAAAAATGGAAATTTGTTGATGTGAATTACAAAAGTGTTACTGTGAATTTAAAGGTAGAGTAGGCGATTTCGAGAAAGGCTAGCAATAGCAAGCTAGCTTTGAAAGCAAGATCCCACCTTCCCTGCATAATCACTCTGCAAAGCCTCCTACAAAACACATGAATGCGCACAGACAGATCAGAGGCTAACCAGCGAAACGATGAGAGACGGCGTTGGTTGAATACAGTGTTGAATACAAAGCTGTCAGATTACCGGTGAGAAAGCATTACAGTAAAAAACGCATAATATTACAATAATAACACCTCCCATTCTCGCTCAGTCTGCATTAGAGTAATGAAACGTGCTGATGACGTATCATGTCTGCATGAACAAGGTGCACGGAGGTATGCAAATACATACATTGACAGGCAGGCAGGACAGCCTACCGTAATCTTCAGACCAAAGAATTTGATTGGACAAACATTTTATGGTCCTACGCCTTCCACAGATGATATACATACTGTACATATAAATACATTTAGACCACTTTACTTAGTGATTGCTATCAGGATGTGAAGAGACAACCAGCATAAACATTTTTTTTTTTTTAACCAAATCACCTACCCTGCCTTTAAAGAAGTAATACATAGCAAACGTATCCTACAAAACACATGAATGCGCACAGACAGATCAGAGGCTAACCAGCGAAACGATGAGAGACGGCGTTGGTTGAATACAGTGTTGAATACAAAGCTGTCAGATTACCGGTGAGAAAGCATTACAGTAAAAAACGCATAATATTACAATAATAACACCTCCCATTCTCGCTCAGTCTGCATTAGAGTAATGAAACGTGCTGATGACGTATCATGTCTGCATGAACAAGGTGCACGGAGGTATGCAAATACATACATTGACAGGCAGGCAGGACAGCCTACCGTAATCTTCAGACCAAAGAATTTGATTGGACAAACATTTTATGGTCCTACGCCTTCCACAGATGATATACATACAGTGGGTACGGAAAGTATTCAGACCCCCTTAAATTTTTCACTCTTTGTTATATTGCAGCCATTTGCTAAAATCATTTAAGTTAATTTTTTTTTCCTCATTAATGTACACACAGCACCCCATATTGACAGAAAAACACAGAATTGTTGACATTTTTGCAGATTTATTAAAAAAGAAAAACTGAAATATCACATGGTCCTAAGTATTCAGACCCTTTGCTCAGTATTATTAACTTAAATGATTTTAGCAAATGGCTGCAATATAACAAAGAGTGAAAAATTTAAGGGGGTCTGAATACTTTCCGTACCCACTGTACATATAAATACATTTAGACCACTTTACTTAGTGATTGCTATCAGGATGTGAAGAGACAACCAGCATAAACATTTTTTTTTTTTTTAACCAAATCACCTACCCTGCCTTTAAAGAAGTAATACATAGCAAACGTAGCTAGACAGGAACATAGATCCTGTTTAATGAATGTAACTATCTTAAATATACTAATTCTAATTCTAACAATAATTAAAATACACACACACAAACATAACTGTTCAATAATAAGAAATAATAACAACAACAATAATACTGTTCCTTACTGTTAATAACTAAACTGTAATGTTAAAAACTTGTTTGTCTAGTTACTAAAAACAGCTTTGACATTTTTCCGTTGACAGATTTCTTAAAAACATTCCTTTTAGAAGAATGTAATGTCCATATGTTATCGTTCACTTCCTAGAGAAAAACTGACTCTTAAAAATGTGTATTATGTTTAAAAAACAAGACAGATAAGATGAAAGGAGTTTGTCATCTTACCGATGCACTTGCGGTTTTTGTAAAAGGTGAGGGTGCCATGCCAAGTGTCCAAGTGAACACCAATAATGGAACCCTGTCCAAAACGTGACGAAAAGCTCACTTTATCACCGTTATGATGTAACAGACCTGAGAAAAACACAAGCATACATTATATTTCAAAAGAGTCCTTATGCACCATGCTTTCATGTAAAGTATAGGTGTTTGTGAACATTGCGCACCGTACTCGTTTTACCTGTATATGATAAACCCCAGCTGTCTTCATCTTTACCCAGCAGGCTGCAGAATGTGTGTCTATATTTGTCCAGATTCATATCTGATGTGCCAATACCAACCATCTACATAAACACACACAGAGAACTCAACCGTAAAGTTAACGAGCCCACAGTCTTCAGTGTCACATGATCCTTCAGAAATCATTCTAATATGCTGCTTTGCTGCTCAGGAAACATTTCTTGTCATTATCAGTTGATTATCAGTTCAGTGCTACTTTTGAACTGCTGTGTACATTTTCAAGAAGTATGCAAAACTACTCATTGCAATGTGGCTCACATCTTGGAAAACTCAACTGATTCAGCAAGTTTCATCCTTACTAGCTGTATGCTGACAGTTATGCTTCAGTCTGCTGAATCAGCTATGCTACTAAATTTTTGCTACTAAGAATTTAACATCAGCCCTTTTCAGATAAAATGTCCAAAAATAAGCAGACTGCCCCGTTCACAAAAACATCCTGAATATCACTACCACATAAAACATGCATACAGAAACTCATTTGCACTTTTGTTCCTCACCATGTCTGTGCCGTAGACAGGGGAAGTCATTTTAATCTCCCAGAAGTGTTGTCCCTCTGAGAGTTTTTTGGAGCCGCGAATGGCTGCCGTTCCACAGCTATACTCCGAGTGGAAGCTCACTTTCCTGTTCTCACAGCTCAGCAGCGTTGCAGACGACCGACTGCCCTCATCCCACACCCAGTCAAAATCTGACAAACAAGTAAACAGCCAATAAGAGAATAAGTTTAGTCACAATAAGCATGATCAAGGTAAAACAAATGTTTTAATGTTGCATGTGGCACCACCTTGGTCATCCTCTCCACAGTGGCAGTCTCGCAAGTGTGTGTAACCCCGGAGCCGTGGGTTACAGCTGAGCTCCATCTGTGAATCACAGCTGCAGTATGACTCTCCGGTTACAGGCACTGCACTTGGAACTGCCGGAACAATGGCTGGATACTCGGCTTCAGAATCAGAGTCACTGTACTGCAAGACACATGCGTGCAAATTCACATCTGACATAGTTTCAGTCTTTTTTTGTCTGTCATTTATGCTTTTTTGAACTGAAACGACTCTTATGATGTTCAACACTTCAGACAAAAGGCCTTGTCACACTAAAAATTAAAGGAATAGTTTGTCTAAAAGTGAAAATCTACAGAGACCTTAATCACCCTCAGGCCATCCAAGATGTAGATGAATTTGTTTATTTTAGGGATGCACCGATACCGATACTGATATCAGTATCGGGCCCGATACTGGTCTCCTGTACTCGTACTCGTTAAAATGCCCCAATACCAAACGCTGATACCACACAGCATGTGATAAGTGCCATATTCAAACAAA